TCATTTCAGAGTACCTGTACCATAGCAAATTCTAGTCTTGTGTCCTTGGCATGGGGGGGAAATGGTTTTGTGGGTATGTAACACACCAAGAAAAAAATAGTTTGAATTTAAGATAGTTTGTGTACCAAGCATTGTATTATCTTCATTGTACCTGAAAAGGGAAGGGGGAAACTTTGGTCAAAACCTGCAGCAATCATTTAAGAGGAGTGTTTAAAAACATTGAAGAGTGCTAGGCTCAGAAGAGCAGAGCTGGAAGCACCAAGGCTTTCATGATGTGTTTTCAGTCATTTCTTATCTCTGAAACACAAGTGAGGTCAGCAGGAATTTCATCAAGCTCATCAGCTGAGTATGATAGAGCTATCAGTCCACATGTGCAACAAAGCAACCCATGACCTTTAAAGGGGTAATTTTGATTAATGGTCCTTTTGGGTGTGCCACCCTCACCTGGCCACTTGGATAGCACTGGGAACAGACATCACTGCCACAAAGCACATGTGCCGAAGTAAAACATGTAGAGCTCTGTCTTTCTACCCAGATGACTAAGCCACAAGTCAATGATGAGCAAGACCTACTGATCATTATGTAAAGACTGCCCCCATAATCTTGTCAAGGTCAGTGTCAGTTTGGCTTATTGGCTGTGTAAGTGCTGGTCATGCAAGTTAAAGATGCCTGAAGGCAGCCTTTACCCTGGAGCATGTTTCAGTGTAACTCAAGTGTCATAGTCTTACTTCCTACAACAGAAGCTGATGGAGTGTAGTACTTGCTATTACTAAGGGCTTAGGAAGTATTTCTACCTCTATATATGTCAGATTACGTTAACTAAGCCTGTAAAGATGGTTCAAAGATTAAGCACTTTTTATTTGTTTTGTTTCTTTGCTAAAAATGTTGTTACCGAGACATTTTAGAGTATGGACTTCCATACTGTATTATGAAATGTGAAGTGTAAGGATGTTTCAGAGACCTTTATTCATGATAGTACAGTTATTTCAAATGGCATCAATACTGTTATTCTACAGGCACATTTCTGAGTTGACATGGTAATATTTAGTACCACTCTTAAAAACAGTTAAGCAAATGCATTTTTATAGCATATAGAGCAAAAGCCAAAAAGGCCATATGAGAGCTGACCGTCTCTGTGGACGTGGTGAAGGATTGCTGGATGCAGGATCTGCTGAGCAAGAAATTCTCATTGAATTTCTTTGTATTTTTCTGGAAAACATCCTGACATGTTTGAAATTTGTGGGCTTCATGCTGTGCAATTTGTCTCAGTAGAGGCTGGCCTTTTTTTCTCCTTTCGCTTTCATTTGGCACGTTTTGCTAGTACTTAGTGGTATTGGATACTACAGGAAATCACTTTGTTGTATTTAATCCCACATCATTCCTGCATGTACATAAAGCCCGAGTTCTCTTTTCACAAAAGAGCAGGAGTCATTTATAATTGCTTGATAGAGCTGGAAGAAAGAAATTTCCCTCTGCAGCCCATGCTGTACTGGTGTACCTGTGCTTGCTGTTGTCAGTATCTGTTCTCTCTTGGTTCTCTCAGGCTTCACGTTCTCTTTCTGTAACATGTCACGCATCCTTGAGTCCAATTCTGTGTGAAGAATTTCAATTGCTGATGGTGCAGCACCTCTTATTTATGTCACTGCACAGCCCCAAAGGAATATGCAGTGAGCTCAGTGCTGCAGGTACGTGGTCCTGCATGGTCCATGGCCAGGAGTTTTGCAGCTTGAGGACATCTGAGCTCATGAGAGTGGGCCGAGTTGTAGAACAGTACTACAAGTAAGTAGCATTTCAGCCATTTTATTATGGGGTTCCTTGAGACATAGGGTGGCTAAACCTGCTCTGGCACAGCCTGCAATGGCAGCATCAAGGCAAAAGCTGGGCTTATCTTGGCTCCCATCCCATGGTCTGGGCACTACATGACACAAAAGCATGCTCTGTCATTGAGGTAGTTCTGCTACTTTCCCAACAGAAAATTACATTTTTATAAATGGAGATAAATACAAATAAATTATGCATTAAAAAGACTGAAGTGTAAAACAAGCTGTGCAGATTTATCATTCCGGTGGTGTTATGTTCAACTTAGCTCAGTTTTTCTTATCTTTAATAGAGCAGCAATTTTATATTCTCTGATGAATTGTTTCAATGACTGTTGACTTTTGGCAATTATGAGGCCACAGCAAATAAAACAAACCAGTGTGCACAGGAGTATTTTAAATATAATATTCTTTTAGATGGCATTTGATGTCTATGCATTGTCACAGTGTATAATGGCATCCTGTGACATATGTCAACCCTATGTGACAGGCACCATGAGGAATAGATTTGAAATATAGAGAAAATAAATGCAAGAATCAATGGCTTCTGCTGGCTGCAGTGAACTGTGCAGGCCTCTATGCTTGGCAATTTCATGTTTTATGTAAAAGAAGAAACTCTTCTGGAATGCATTAGGGAGTCTGCTCAAAACCATTTACAGTAAGTGAATCCAAGAAAATATGGTCAAGTAGAAAGGAGACCAGTGACCATACCTTGTATGTCTGCAGGTACTTTGGGTAGCAGCTCACAACAATGTTGGCTGTTTGGCTTGTAAAGTTTTGAACCCAATTATTTGGACATGCATTTAGGGAAAGAAGCATCGTTTACTGGAGTTTTGTGGGTATTATGTGATATTCTTTTTACAAGCTTTTAATGACTGCAATATTCTTGCATTAGCTACAGGAAATATCATAGAGAAGAGATTTTTTTCTGTTATTGTTGCTTTGGACCCTAAGAAAATACAGTGAAACTTCCCTTTATTAGTTGGCTGTGTCTTGCAGCATAATTTATGTGATTATCTATTTCTCTGTTTTAATCCAAATACTTTTCTCTTATTTAAATAAGCTGAACCATTTTGAACACGTAAATAACGTGAACAAATCCTTTCTGGATGCGATGAAAGGACCTCTGTACAAAGTCAGAATGGTTCAATTCCACTCATGCTATTTTTTTAATATCAGGTGTTTCTCTCAGGAATGGTTCTCACAATCAGAACGTGTTTTCTTGGAGGAAGGAGAGAAGACATAGACCCCAGAAGAGCCCAGTGCTCTGGTGTTATAACTCAGGCAGGGTGTGGGAGACTCTTGCTTAAATTCCTGCTCTGATTCAGAAAGTCTTCACTGCTCTATAGTGTTTGTCTTCCTGGTCAGGTGGACGTTTAGAGCTTGATATTAGTTATTGACTTAATTAATTAAGCAAGACAGATGTCTATTTCCTATTGGAAAGGGAATGAAAATACTTTGAGTTTGCCAAGGTGGACACAAATTTAATGGATTTTGATCCATAAGTGTGACCTTTTGATTGTAAGGGCAACCTGCAGGAAGGGTGAGGCGATGCTGCTGCTTCTCTCCCATCACCTGCCCATACCTCCTGTCCATGCCAAGCTCATGCCCACCTACCTGCCATCCCCGTGTCATGGTGGTGCCAAACCTTCCCCCTCCCGGCAGGTGGGGATCCTCAGACACCACCACGCCTACAGACGTCCCATAAAGCCATGATGGAAGCCACTCACATGGCTCAGGCCCTCCAACAGTGCTGTCACTACAGTGTGATTTAAAATGTGTCCTATTCGTGTGGCCACTGAGCGGGGTTGTAAATGATGATACAATTATTCCAAATGCCATGAATCTGAGAGGATTTGAATCACTCCAGAGTGCAATTGTTTAAAAGCAAATCAGACGTGGCTGACCCCATTTCTTTACTTCCTAATTTTATGTACCATAAATTTAGCTCTTATGCAAGGCTGAGAGCCTGCAGTGACATTGGATGTGTAGCATAACACTGAGCAAGGATCCCTGATCCACTTTGCTAATGTTGTGCTGAGCGTGCTATTAAAGAAATGAAATTCAGATGAAGCACAAGTTATGGCCATCTTTACCCAGCTGCTTAAGCATACTTTTCTTCAAAGTGAGCTGCACATCTTGTTTCAAAAATATAAGGTGGTCTTGAGTGCAGGGTCATGCCAGCTGTATCGAATTAACTGTGTGTGCTGAATGCACAGTGCTCCTCAATAAACCATGTTGTCAACACCAGTGTTTTCCTACTGGTTTCCTTCTGGACAGCTCCAAGTGCTGTCAATTTTATTTTTTTATTTTTTGAGTTTTATTTTTTTTGACAATGCTTGTCAAATATACTGGACTGGCAGCCTAGGCGGGTTTGTATGTCCACACGCCTGTTGTGTAGGTACTGAGCAGATGAGAGCAGCGTGGAGTTCCTGTGCTGGCGACAACTTGTACCAGCAGCAGGACTCACCCCTGGTCCCTGTGCATCCTCCTCCTCCTCTGTGCAGCTCCCTCCTGCCCGTCAGGTTTGTTTGCAAGTAGGGATGTAGATACCTGCCTGAAAGGACTGGCTGGGTGCCCCCAGCTCGCAGGAGCTTGCATAACATGCTGGCACATTGCAGGGAGCATTTTGGCTGTTTTACATGAGATACGTTCATATCCAGGTAACTGCCCATTAAAGTGGATTTAATTTTAAAATCAGGGCATATGAAATATGAATTCAAATATATTTATTATTACTATTATTTTTTAAAACATGATCATTTCTGTGTGGAAAGTTTCTAGTCCATTTTTTTTTTTTTGCTCAGGAATTAGCCCTGCCTTGCAAGTAAATGATTCCCATGCTACCTGGAAAAGAAAGTCTCTCTTTGCTTGAAGGATTTTGCAATGAAAACAACCTCATTTTAGAAAAAGGGGAGAGACTTATATTAGAGAGGCTTTTTGTTTTTCCACTAACATTTCATAACTTCCTTAAGAGTGAAGACATCAGCACCTTACTTATAACTAACCGATCTAGGTGAATACAAATTGAACAGTTCAAAGATTTGTTTCAAAAACTGCCAGTGGCAGGAGGGGGTTGTTCTTTATTTTTATTTTTCCGGTGGATTCATATTTTATTTAGATTTTGCATTTTTCATTCTAAATGGAGTAATAAAACCTTAAATGTTTTTTTCTGCCTCCCAGTTTCTCTTGCACTGCGGTTCTGACTGATGTAGCCAAGGCTGAGCTTCGCCCTCTGAATAATGTATTAATTTCTCTTCAAGGAGTGGAAGTCTAGAGACTAATTTCTGTAAGTATTGTGCTTCTAGTTACCATCAACAGAAACATTTCATTCCAGCTGAATATCAGAAGGCAGCCTCAGATGTCTGCGTGCAATACACCACAATTTGCCTAGTGGAAGCTGTGCACCCACCTGAAAGCAGACTGGAGCGGAGGTTGTCCTGACTGGAACAGGAGGTTTCTGCCTGCTATTGCTGGGATATCTCACTGGTTTAGAGTTTTACGCTGCTCAGACTAGGAAAAAAAAAATCACTATGAGCAACCAACTGTAGGGAAGCGTTTTGTTGATAGCAGAATCTGTTTTTCACTGCTGACTTGCTTTAAATTCAATAAGAATGTTACTTAAATAGAGCTAAATAGTACAGACAAGGGGGAACAATTAAAAACAATACTTTAAATAGGCTTAAGTAAAAAAAAAAGATATGTTTTTCTCCTGTTCTGATAGCTGAAGAGACCCAGCCTGCTCAGAATGACATATTGGCCTTGCTTTTGTGGACAGGTAAGTCCAAGTCCCTGAAATTCTCAGGATGTGTGGGGAGCCCCTGGCAAGCCTCTTGCAGAGGAGCCCCAGGTTCCTGAGCCAGAATAAATTCCAGCAGGAGTCCGTATTAGAAAAACAGAGGCTTTCGGGCAAGAGTTAAATACTTTGTCTTTTGGATCAAACATACTTTTGATAAATCCTCAAAAACTGAAAATGAGAGATGCTGGGCAAATTAACAAATGACATTGCTGGCTATAGTTTTAGCAATGTCACTGTTTTGACAGATTCATTTTCTTTCACCCACTATGATTGATAAGTGTATCTGTCTGGGATTAGAGAAAGTTGCTAGGAAGGGAGTGCTTGAAGGTCAAATTGCTCTAAGGAGACATTATATTTTCCTGCCAGTTTCTTTGGTAGGGTCAAGGCTTTTTTTCCTTGCTTCTATAAAATGTAGAAAGCAATTAAGTTTGATTCATGCCATGAGCTACTTCTTTTGGTTTTGGTTGCCTCTAAGCATTCTAGCAGGAGAGAAAAACAAACCAACCCTGTCACTTGGTCTGCAATACTGAAAAAGAGCTTCCAACACAGTGGGTGACTTCTTTCTGCTCCAGAAGAGATGTTTTGTGCATCTTAATCTTTAAGTTACATTGAAAAACATATCAGTGCTGTGTAGTGCCATCCAGGTTAATGACTGAAAATTTCATCAGCAGGATGCACATGTGAGAAAGCTACTAAAATATGGCTTAAAGAGGACAAAGTACCTGTACGTCACCAGCATCTGCGTGTAGGGGGAAAACATTATTTTGCTGACAGTACAAGACCCCAGGAAGATATTGATATCTATGGCTTGACCACTACTTTAGTTTGCGTGTGTATGTGTGCAAAATAAAGGATTACAAGCAAAAGAGCAGGCCAAAACTCTGAGACAGCTATAATGCTGTTTCCCTTCTGTCCAATGTAGGAAATGCATTTCATATGAAGGGCCAGCAGAAGGCTGTTTGTAGGCACTTTGATGTTTGGGGTGGATGATTAGAGCCAGTTGTCCTAGCTAGAGCTGGATGATGTGAAATGGTCCATGACCATGGCCTTGGAAGCCAAGAGGGATGGTTGTGAAGAGGTAGCCAGTGATTTTCTCATGGGAGATCAGTAAAAAGATCCAAATCTGTTGTTGGCGGTTTAGTTTGTTTCAGAAGGAAATGGGGGATTTGTTTTTCAGGAATCAGGAATGCCTGACTCAAGTCAGGGACAGGGGGGCACACCTGACGTTCATGCTTTACAGTTTTGGATAATTACTTTCTTTCTTTTGTTCATGGTACCTGCTTTTACTTTTTACTTCTCTCTCTTTCTTCCTTTTTTTTTTTTTTTTTTTTAACCTCCTCCCATTTATTATTGCTTCTTTTCCTCTCTAAAATAATAGTGCCTAATTCTTTCCATATAGTCATTCCTTTTCCTTTCCCCAATTCTTCCTACTTTACACTGGTTTCTGCCAAAAGCACCTGGGTAACTTCAGCTGTTTATTTCTACAGCCTGATGGTTTGAGTGCTGTAACCAGAAGTTGCTTCCCCTGCATTAACACTGGCAGCCTGAGCCCAGAGCAGATTTTGGGACAGGCAAGACCAGGAGCAGGCTGCTGCTGGCTGGATTGCTAAATGAGCTGGGATTACAAAGCATTTAGTGGATGCAGTCATTGAAAAATGGCAAACAGCAAGAAAGCCTTCAATTAAGAAATGTTAAGCACAATGACCCCTCAGCAGTGCAATCTTTGTATTAATGGGAAAGAGAAATTTTAAGTACCTGAGGCCACGCAAAGATTGGTATCAAGCCACCCTCCATGTTCATGGTACTGTGCCTAATGGCATCTGAAAACTGTAGAACAAAGCATCATTTTATCAGTTTACTTTGAAGCTATTTTTTTTTTGAGTCCAATTCTGTTGGAAATTGGAACTTGCTAGCTGAGGTCATTAGTGCCCAAAAGCTGTGGGCTGCTTGAAATGACTTTGAAGAGTTTGGTTCAGCCCAGTTCTGCTGTCAGCACAGTGGAGACTGTCAAAGACAACCTAAACTGACATATCTGAGACTTCCCACCAAAATGCTAGGGACTGGGTCAAATTGGTCAATGGGAACCATTTTTCCTTCTCCAGTTAATTCCTGTTAATGCAGGGAGCGACTCATGGGCTCCTGAAGCAAGCTCCTCAGTGAGGTCCATGCAACCCTCTGAAATAGTTCAGTGCCTTAATATATACAGAAGCAGGAGAGATGGGTTCAGCTCTTTTCCCTAATTAATCTACTTGAGGATCAGGTTATGCTGGAGGCATGAAGGAGGGATGCTGGATTATCCTCCTGTAGGAACATTTCTACTTTGTTTGAAAGAATATTTTATTATTTTCTGAGGCTGAAGTTTTGAGAATGACCTTGTCGGGTGGCTGTGGGAACATTTAGATCCCACTCTGTGAGTCACTGGGCTCTTATCTTAAAATGCTGTTTCCTTATTATAAAACAATGAAAACTTTGGGAGGCAGGGACAAAAAGCCTGTCTCAACTGGAAAGGTAATTCTCATCCAAGGAAGATTTGAGATTCATAGGACAACTTCAACAGAAAGGTTCAAAACATCCCCATGACCCAAGCATGGGCTTCGGGGCAGAAATAAGACTCCTTGCTCCTAGGCAGGGATGGGATCTGTGTGCAGCATTTTCCACTGAAGTTTTTCACAGCTTCTTTCTTCATAAGTTTGTTTTTCTGAATACCAAAATTTGCTCATGACATTCATGGTCTAAGATGAGTGTTGTGAAATCTGTTGGGGTGATGAGATCCGAGTGTACTTCATGGATCTATGCTCAAAATTAAACCTTTCTTTAAAAAAAAAAAAGGCACAATGTTTAAACCCCTTTGAGAAGCTGGACATTATGACTCACAACAGGAGATAGGGAGCGCTGGGCGCTTCTGAAAAGCATCCCGAAGTTTCTGACAAATTTTAATTAAGAGACATGAAAAAGAAATTACAAACTCTGTGATGGTTGGTCTGGTGTAGATTTAAATACACTCATTGTAGGAGCTCAGACACATTTGTTTGAGTATTCTGTGCACTTCTGCTCTTTGGGAGGTGCCTGGTCTTCTCTTTGGGGTTATGTGGGGGCCACACTCTTCTGCTCACAGCAAGCTATAAGCCTGTCTCCTGGAAATAGCACTTCTGGTCTAGGTGCCAGTGCCAAAAGGCCTTTTTCAATTATCCTGCCTTTCAATGTGGGAAGACGGAGGATGTGGTAAAAGCTTTTGTTTGCATGAATTGAGCAGTACGTGCAAACGCTTCTTTTGCCAGCAGTGAGAGCAAGAAGTCAATCTTAAAAAGTTTTCTTCTCTTATTTCCTTTCTTTCCTTCTTTCTTCAAAACAAAGAATATTCTGAAGGTGCAGCTCTGTAGTGGGAACGTGCTGCTGGGAGCTGTTTGGATGGCCCCACGCGATGCTGCAGCGAGCCTGAGCAGGATGTTTGCTTGATGTTAGCTTGGAGCTACCCCGAGCTTCCAGTTGGCTGGTGGATCCCCGCTGGTCACAGGCTGGTGCTTTTATAGCTCTGCGAGATACCACGGTGTGATTTGAAAGGGATGAAAGGTGTTAAGAGCACAATAGGATGCACACTCTGAAAAGCTGGATGGGAAAGCTGAGACTTTGAAGTGCAAAGAGGGTGAAATCATCCCTGTGTAGGGAACTTGAGAGAGTCGTGTGTACCATGTAAATTCCTGTTATACCATCAAAGTAAGGCTTAAGTTGAGCTTAAGTGACTGAGTCTCATGCGAGTGTTCTGCCTGCGGGTAAACTTTTACCCTGGCTGCTTATTTTTGGAAAATAAGCTGTTTAGAGGAAACTGGAAAACATGCTGCTAAGTCAGGCTATGAACAGGTATCTGTTACCCAGCTGCCCAAATCCGGACCCAAATCCATCCTTTAGCTCCTCGGCAGGGATGGTATCATTTCGGAGAGCACTGAGACACTCTGCAGGCAGTTTTCTATTCTGATGGACGAATACCTGAGGAGTTATTGGGAGGAGAAAGGGGAGGGAGAGGGTGAAATACAGGGAGGCTGGGAGCAGGATGGAGAGCAGTGGCACCAGGCTGTGGCATGAACGACACCGACACCACTGGGCACTGACCAGCCATAGCAACCTGGGAGGCTCAGGGAGTGATGAGGGTCATGCAGGGATGTTCATTTCTCTGGATTTTAGTTTGTTGTGGGAGGTCAGGGCTGCAGCAGGAAGGGGATATCCTGAAATTATCCTTGCCAAAGGCCAGTAACTTGTGTCTTCAGAAGAGGGGTGAAAAACCCCACACGAAACTCTAGAATTAAGGCAGGCACAAAACGGCAATGAGGATGAGTTTTGGCCAGTATTGTTTCTAAAAATGAACAAATTTCTTAGCTTCAGCATCCCAATAAATCCTTTAGAAGTGGGGTTTTCTCTCCTATCTTTAGAATGTTTTTAAAAAATAATGCATTTATTTATTCAAAGGACCAAAAACCTTATTTTTTCCACAGAACCAGCCCTCCCTGAGTGGAGCTGTGTGTGGTGGCACCACGGGCAGTGTTCCTGGGGGCTGCTGCAATAAATCAGTCCTGCGGGCACGGTCTGCAGCCCCTGTGCTGCAGTGCAAGGTGCCGGCGGCTGGTGTCATCCCCCTGCCGCTGTGCCTTCCTGCCTCAGCCTTTAAAGCACCGTTCTGTAATTTTTGTCTTGGAAGTAATGAAGCCTGACAGTGCTAGCTTGTGCATGATAACAATCCCACACTGGTATCTTTTGAATCCTTCCTTGCCAGATTCATAAAGGAAGAATGACTTTTCCAAAGCGACAGTAAACATGTTTCATTTTATAAGACATTGTGGTTAACAGCCTGAAACAACAAAGTTTTTTTTTTCTTTTTCTTTTTTTTTTTTTTTTTCCTAAGCTATAACTAAACTAATTTGAGCTATATTAAAAGTGCTGATCTGGAAGCTAAGCCACTTTTTTTTGTAACACAGCAGGAAAACATATATGGCCTAACTCGTGCAGTTTGCACTGGGAGGAGGAAGCAAATGTTTGCAGTGTTCATGGAGCAGCTGGATCCTGCACAGCACGGACTCCAACACAACAGAGCTGTGCAGTGCTGCCGATCCCGTGTGATCCCCAGGCTGATAGCGTGGTTTGAGGCTTTTAATGTTGTGCTTCCTGGGAAGGAAACCCTTAAAGATGCTGCGTGGAAGGAATCTGCATGCAGTTAACAGCAACCTGTGAAGGATCAGGTGGTGGTGATTTTAGTGCCATGGGCTTGGGGGATTGACTTGAAACGATAAAAAGTCATGTGAGCTCTTGCTTACTGTCGGATAAGTACAGCTCAATTTGGCTGAAGTCAAGTGAGTTACTCCGGGACTACCTTAATGTAAATGAGAGAATAATTTGTCCCCTTAGGACTCTCCTGTGTTGCTTTGCATTTATTTCATTTGATGATATTTTGTGCTCATGATTTGCAAGTGTAAACGAGAGGGCACAGGGCAGGACAGCAGGGGGTCAGGGCCCCGCTTTGGGCATATCTGGGCTGGAGAGTTTGGTCCCTGTTTGCGTTTAAGCGAGTTGATTGCTCATTAACCTGAGTTTGCTAATGTGTGTAAGTGCTTGTCTAGCTCATCTACAGGCACTTGTTCCAGGATGCGACGCCGAACTGGACTGGGTTACGGAGAGGCTAAGCCAGATGTTAGCTTGCATTGGCAGTCCCTAATTTCTGCCTAAGCTCTCCCAGCCATGGGGCTTCTCAACTGCTGCTGATTTTGAACTGTGCAATACTTAAAGGGTTTTTTAGGTACTGCAGCACCAGTCCACAAGCACTCAGGTGCTCTGCCAGACCCTGCGAGGAGCCCTACCCTGGGGATGAGGTCTTGAGCCTTTGGTCTGAGCAGGTCTCCCTGGGAGCTGGGGGGGGGGGTGATACGGTGACAGGTAAGTGCTTCTGCTCTGCTTTTCCTCTCTGTGTTGTCTTGGGTGGTGTGGGACATAGCACTGGCACTCCTGCAGTGACTGATTACCCACCTGCCAGCCGCTGTTCACACCCTGCACACTTGCAGGGGCACTTAGTAGAGGAGCTCGGTGCTGGCACTAGCATTGCTGGGAAAGCCATGAGCACAGCTACACTGCTGCAGGGGGGCCCTTACCATGCAGGAACAGATTTTTAGGGCAGACAAACACACGTACCACACAGGATGAGGTGTGGGGCAGAGCAGCCCCTGCAACCCCTGCCCTGCAGCCAGCTCAGGCTTGCAGGGCTGGCACTGTGCTGTATGTACCACATCTGTCAGCGCTGCATCGGGAGCTCAACACCCTTTGGTTTGCAGCGATGGCCTCTCTGCTGGCAGCTCGTGCTGCCAGAGCCTCTGTTCTGCAAACTGACAAGGTAACAGGTAAAGTTTTCCATCCGGCGCTTCCCGTGAATTCATTTTACTTTGAAGGGCATGAGAAAGCAACAAAAGGTTAGAGGAGACGATGACATTTTTTAAACTGAAAGTGTAATTGCAATTTTCCTCTGAGGCTTGTAAATATGCTCTCAACTATAAATAGGCTATTTCCATCACTTTTATAAGGCTCTTAATTCATTTATCAGTGATCACGGTAAATGCAGCTCCACACCTTTCTGACACGCTCAGTGCGGTCTCCTTGAGGTGCAGCACACAGGACTTGGCAGGAGCGGATCTTTGCAGATGGGACAGGGAGAAGGGAAAGCATATTTTCAGCCACAGTTTATTTTCCTGCCCTACAATTCAGTAGCCACCAACAGACAGCTTAATATGCAAGGGTGTTTTTCACGTCCCCAGAAAAGATGCTCCCTCTGCAATTGCAGCGTGCATTTAGGTTTTTGTCTGTTGGCACAACAGCTGTAAAGGTTTTTGATGCATGGGGGCCACCAGAGAAGAGATTGATACCATGTAGAGCTGTTAATGCTGGTTATAGAAAAGTAACATTGTGAGTGAGGAAAAGCGGAAGGTGGTTTTAAGAATATCCTGGGGAAGGTTTATGAGCTGAGAACATTAGGTTGGAGCCCAGACAGGGTGTTGCTTTCTCAGCCCCTTGGTCCTGGGGCCTGTTTTCTCAGGTCTTTGCTCTTTCTCTAGGGTTGAACACACGCCAGGGCCATGGCACTGTGTTGCACTGCTCACTGAGATGTTGTGCCTTAAGACAGGCAGAGCCCCGAGAGGTCTTTGGCTGTGCTTCACATCCCCAGGTGCTGCTGTGTTTGTGCTGCAGTGCCCTGCAGGACAGAGCTGCCCTGGGAACTATTAGCAAGGGCTGTGTGTATGTGTGTGTGTTTAGGATTTGGTTTGAATTTCTGCTTTTTTATTGTTCAATCACTATCTTATACCTTCAAGCACCTTTCCTTTTTAAAACCTGAACTTGTACTTGAAATATTGCTATTAATTTTGCTTTTATTTTTTGTTTGTTTGTTTTAAATACAAAAAACAATGGAGAAAATGACAAACTAGGTGTGAAGTATTTGTGAAAATACAAAATGGCATGGTATAAAGAGTGCGGCAAAACAATACTTGATTAATAACAGCTATAACCATAAAACCATCAATTGGTTAAGAGTCTCTTAGCCTTATGATTAATAGTTCACTCAAAATCTTAACAGAAAGACTGCAAAATTAATCTTAAAAATGTAATGCTGTAGATGAGTTGCTGAAAAACTGTTGTTGAAATAGCTTTAAAATAGTTTATATGTTAAAAGCTACAGTAGATTGAAGGCTTTGGGTAGAAATCCATGTATATTTTGGCATTTAGGTATAGAGACATAGGACTACTTGTAGCCCAAAGTGCGAAATGAGTGTAAGGTGAGAGAGCACGGAGACATTTTACGGCTCCTTAGCTTCAAAGTGCTAAAAATCCACCCGAAGAGGCACCCGCTGTGTGGCTGGCATTTGCATGCAATTCCATATTCATGCACTCTCTTCTTTCCAAGTGCTGTGTTCAGCCCCCATTAAAAGGGAGCTAGGTGAGTCTTAGCACCCTTGGTTCCTTAGCGTAAGAATATTATTCTTGTCCCCAGCACTCCCTCTCCATGCACGCCTGAAGCTCCCCCAGGAGAGATGGGCATCCAAGGCACCAAGTGATTCTAGCCCTGCTCATGCCATGGTGGCCATCTGGCCTGAAGCTTGAAATCCTTTTGTTCTTAAAGCTTGGTTTTGGCTTTTTTCTTTTCTTAAAGAACTTGAAGGGAACAGGACTTAGAGTTTTTGCAGGTTTTAATGATGATTATTTAGACTTTTTAGCAAGATTATTTAAACGTGGTGGCTTGTGCTCATATTTAGGGATATAATGCAGAGCCTAAGACAACAACAGCAAGTGCTGTTCCAAAGTAGCTTAAAAATCCTCCTGGGAAAAGTATCTCCCATCCCAGATGGCCCCTGTATTTATTGTCATTACAGCATCATTCCCCACAGAAGAATGTGATTCCTCTTGAGAAATAAAACCCCAGAACCTGACACTGGGCCTGCCATTCTGCAGTCGGTGTGGCTGTTGTACGTTTGCTCACTGAAGCCTCTGGAGCCATGGACAAGAGCTGGTTTTGTCCTCAGACCTCATGCTGACCGAGTAACCTGCAGTGACAGCATGCAGCAGCGTTTATGTGATTATGGGATTCAGAGATGTCTTAAGACAGCTGATATCAGTTAAAGACGAGAAGCCAAATCTCCACATTCTCTTCTCATCAGAATCCACACATGAAAATAAAAATAATGATACACCGAGATCCCTGAAGAAAAGCAATAATCCAGTATTTAAAATCTAATCTGCACTTTAATTAGTGTTGTCTCTTGTAAGGAGAGGGAAAACAAACTGTGTGCAGCCTGACAAGGCACACGCCACCTCTGAGCCTGATGCAATTTAAACTGTCAAGTCATGAAGCACGGGAGGGAAAATTGGATGTAATGAAATGTAAGGAGATGGCACCGGCGACAGCAATGCTGCGATGCAGCTCGGCTTGCCACAGGAGGCCCTGCTGGAGAAGGCAGGATTTTTAAAAGTAAAGACCAAAGTGGTGCTGCCCGTAGGACCCCTGCCACATGTGTGTGCTCGTTCCTCCTGTGTGGGGGAAAGCACGGCTCTGGTTCTCCCTGAGGGCAGGATGCTGCCTTATTTATTTCTGCTGTTTCCCATCTCTCTTCCATATGCAGCACAGGTGTGAGCTAAGTGATAATTTTGACCACTGTAAGTTTTTTTCAGAATATTTTTTTAAATAAAATTTTCAAAATCATTTTATTTTATGGTTGTTATCTTTTTGTCATATGCTGCTGCTTTTAGCAGCTTGTTAATCCATTTCTCTTCTCTAAGCTTTTCATTTATATGCTATAATTCAGTTTAGCAATGTAATGTCTTTTATGATAATCCATTTAATAACCCTGCAAGAAACATCTCAAATGTTGGACATTTGTTCCAGTGAGCACAATGTATTAAGTCTTAATCTGAAGGTATTTTAGGTTATAAAGTGACACTAGAGAACCCAGTAGTCTCACAATTGATATACTTGGCATAAAACTGCACCTCATTACTTTACTGAACCTCCTCAACATGAAAACAAAGAGCCCGTGCACTTGTGCTATCACACTTAGCTGATAAATGTCTCCTCCACCTAAATTTTGATATGTTCTGTTTCTGTTTATGGAAGGTGGTGATGGATGCACTTTTTCTCCCCACGTGTCTGATTTTCTTGAGCACTCATGGTCTGGTTTCAGTGAGTAACTCTGGTGCCCTGATGTGCTCCTGGATGCAGACCTGGGGGTCAGGTATCTACAGAGCAGGTGCAGAGGGATGGCCTAGGAAGGACAGCAAATGTGTAGAGCTGCTGAAGACTGGGAGATAAACTCACCTGAACAAAAGGATCATGTCTTACTGTTGGTTTTATAAAACCTTAACCTTAAAATATGCAAATTATACTAAATTATTTGAAATTAATTGGTTTGTATACCTGTGTCTCGCATAGCATTTCAGCTTTTAGAGTCTGCTTGCTAGGGCTCTGCTGCCCACACGATGAAATTCAAAACTTAAATGTTTTCCAGAGTGAGCTGGGCAAGGATCCGTCTTAGCTTCTTACATGTTTATGGCAGTCAGCATTGGGTATTTTAGCTAATAATTCATCTAGATTGTGGTGATATCCTAGCTCAGCCTGCACCACGCTCAATGTCAGCATTAAGCAGTGTCCACTATAATCTTTTTTAATAGCTTGAACTACATCAATTTTTATTCCTGAACTGTTGATAAGCTTCCTTAACTCAATTCATCAGAGTTTATGAACACATCCTTCATCTCTTGACTTCTCATTGAAGTGCCTTTTTTAAAAAAAAAAATGAAAAATATAATAGCAACTGAACATCAACACAAGTATGCTGTAGCTGTACTCCATGCCTTAAAAGGATTTTGTACAGCTACATCTTAAAAGTTTCAGTGTATCCTACTCTACTGAATCTTGTTGGATTTAGCGAGTGTTCTTTTTTGCTTTGTATTGGGTATTTTGTCCATTAGCTAATTAATAGTTAAAGCAAATTTTGTGGAATTATATATTTCATAGTTGGATTTTAATTAAGCAGAATGGTAAAAGAAGCATTTTATTGTGGATACATTTTGATGAACCATGTGTCCAGTAATTCCCTTAATGTAGGAGGATTCATTTCTTCAAGAGAATTTCTTTTGGAGAAGAAAACGCAAACAAATAGTATAAACTTGCAGTCTGCAGAATACCGGCCAGAAAGCATCCAGCCTGCTTTACATGCCTCCCAGTGCTAATTAGGAAACCAAATTTTTGTCTATATAAACACAATAATAGCTTTGTGTAAGCAGGTTCTCAATGTGTGAAATACCTTTCTAGCTGAAACAGCTGTTAATTTCCGGGTCTCTTTTTTGTGCTTTTTCCCTTAAAGAGAATTTGCAAAAATGAAGTTATAAACATATGGTCGAAGTTTTAAGTGCTTTTGAAGCACAATTTTATAGCTAATGCCTTCTTTCCGGTGAAGATGTAGGCTGTTATTCCAATGGATGCATCTCCAGGAAAGGTTACAGACTCATAAGTGCACATTAGCAGTGCACTTCTCCACATGCTCCAAAGGGGAATGCTGGAGCTGTTCCCAAGGACGGGAAAAGCAACAGGAACTCAGGCTCTGTGCAAAGTGACAATGGAAGAAACGCCAATTTATCAACTTCCCGGGGCCGAGGCAGTTTGATTTCCTGGGCAAGTGCCTGCACTTAAATCATGGTTGATATAGTGTTGCTGCACGCATAAAGGTAAAATTTACTCTCTTGTCAATAGACATTGAACTTCTGAACCCTCATCCTGTGATTATGCACCAAAATATGTAATATGAAAAAAATTCCATTTACGTTAGAAAACAAGTTAGATTTTGTACACTTTGAAATGTGACTTAAGACCATTAGTTGATTTGACCTTTAATTGACTGAAGATTTTAGTGTGTCAGGCATGGATTGGGAATTTTTGATTTTTTCTTTTGGAAAACACTCACTTGTCAAAACTAAAAAAAACACCCATAGTGATTTGATTAATCCTTGCATGTGAATTACATCTGAAATCTGCTTGCCTTCACCCTAGGCTCATATGCTTGTGCCATGTTTGTGGCCAAACAGAAAGGTCTGGCTCTCCAGCTCCCTGCAGAGTTCCTGGTCAGCATGTGAAGTTTCCAGGCAAACCCCTGGGAAAAGCTGAAATCCACAACTTGATGATAGATGTGGCTCTCCATGAAGATGGAAACTCTAACCTCCATAGCTGATCACAGGGCAAATATACCTTGAAGCCTGGGAGGTGGGTTGGCATTGTTTTGGCTGATTGGGTGTTTCTTTGGGGTGATTTGCCATTAAATCCTGTATTTTCTAATCATGAAAAATGTTGCATTGGCCTGGTGAGTCCCAGCTTCCTTACCCAAGAGATGCTATACAGAGAAAAGCCCTGGCATACCAGTAAGACCACAAAAAGTAGTGTTTGTACATTCAATGTGTCTTCCTTCCTCCAGATTTTCTGTACATTTATCCATCTTCTGCTTATGAAAGGCTTGGCAACATTAGCAGTTTGTTTTTAGAGGCAACATAATTGCAGGATAAACAGAAATATTATATTGAAGTTATGTGAGCAAACGATTTTTCAGTAGAATTTTTGAAAGAGTTTTGACATTGAAAGCAACTGTTCTAAAATATTTTATATATGTATTTTTTTTAATCTAAATATTTACAAGAAAATATCTCTGCTTTATTCTGAACAACCACTTATATTGAAAGGATTACTGTTTTTGAAGAACAGGGAAGTATGAAAACTGTGAGTGTGTTTCTGGTTTGTAGTCTCAGAAGAGCAAATGAAATTATCTTGAAATAACTCTTTACTACAGTCAAAAATGGGCATTAAGTGCAGTTTCTACCAGAAGCTGGGCTTCCCTGTTCAAGCATCCCTGTTTGGCTTGTTGTTTGATTTGCTCTCACTCTGATTAAACTTGAGTGGGATTGTGGTCTTATGTGAATAAATATTGCTCAATATAAGAGCCGTAGTTTCAGGTCCGTCTTTAAAAGACTGAACTATGCTGCTATGCAGGTCTCAGTCAGGTTTCTAAGATAATAAGAGAAGGGTTCAAATATTTTGCTGTTCAGTGTGAGTTGCATCCAGTGTCCTTTGGCAGTGCTTTATACACAAGAGCCTTGTGCATGCTTTGGGTCTCTTGTCTGCAGTGATCTGTGCAAAATGCTTTGTGGGCCCGAGCTATTAGCAATCTAAATTCTCTCTGCTGTCATATTTATCACTCCTTATTAATGTGCCTTAAGGAAACCCAGTGCAGATAGTGCTTTTTTTTTTGACTTGGAGTCTGCCCTTGTTTGGCTCTTATGAGAGTTTTTAGGCGGAGGAGGGAAGGTTCTTGCTTGACAGAAGTCAACTTCAGAAGCGCTGCCGAAGGCTGCATTATCAGCTCTAAGCACTTTTCTAGATCTCTCTTACTGTCACTATTTACATTAAAACAATGAACTATTTTTCCCAAAGAAGTCTCATACAAGGTATGACCTTGCTTTCCAGCAAGTATAAGCATAGTTTGGCGCTGCATTGAAGAACCCTTTCTCGAGGTATCCCAGGGCAGTTCTGTACTGTAGCTACTCATTTTAATTCAACTTTCACAGTGACCTTTTCCAAGACAAAAATAGCCCTTTATCAGTCTTTCACCCCTTGATTCTCTGTTCCTCTGACCCATGTTTAATGCTCAGCTGCTTCCCTCTATCTACTAAATCTCAGAGGTATTCACCTCTGTAGCACTGCCTACAGCAAAAATTGCTGGAGAAGACTAGGACCAGTGTACAGTGGTTGTAAATTTTCCCTTGTGAGTATGAATATGTCCAGTCTCTGCAGCTACCAATTTGGCTTCATCCATCCCCAGGGGAATATCACGTAAGAAATGCAAGAGAAGTTTGTCTGGAAGTTGCCTAGACTCTCCATGTGGCTTACTCAAACTCATCCAACTGAGTCGTATTAGCAAAGCTCATTTAAAAAAAATAATTCATTAAGAGCTCCCCAGGGCTTGATTCCGCTTCCACTAGCATTTTTGATTAACAGGAAAAATAACTTGGATTAAGTTGATGGAGTTACACTGGTCTAAATCAATACAGGAATAAAATGACCCTTCTTTACTTTACTTGAAATTAATGTAATGTTATGCCAGATTTCATTTGTTCTTTTTATGAACTGTGTTTAGCTTCAGTGGGAGAGAAGCGAGGGAATGCAGATTTTGAAGGACTGTTAAGTTATAATACTATGATTTTCCCAAGAGATGGCCATTCTGAAATGAGCAGTTGTTTATAGGCAGCTTTCTTTGCCAATTTTTGTGACTTAATTTTTAACTTGGAGCAGCAGCTGTATTTTTCCCAGCTTCCTAAGCCTGCCTAAATTAGCTAAGAACTGGGGAGAATCCCTTAAGATTTTTTTTTTTTTTTTTAAAGAACTAGATTTAAGCCTTGGAATTAGATCCCAATTTGACAAATGTGACCACTAGAAAAATGAAAATATCTTGAGTCAGATGAAACATCCCTAACTTGAGTCTATAAATCCACATGATTGGTATTTCTGTTTCAGGGCTGTGAACAGGGCAATGGACTTGGCTTATTGTTTAAGGCTTGGCTTATTGTTTAAGGACATGGAGCTCCTGCAGTGCTTCGTAGCTGGGAGCTGCAGCCCACTGGCACATAGCTGCAGCCTTTGGGGACACAGAGAAATTGGGAAGA